GTCGTCGCCCGACGTCGTGTAGCGACAACCTCCATCGTTTTTCTTTACAAAACTTTCTATGCAAAGTCAAAAGAAAATGAACTTTTCAATGCCTTTGCACCGTAAGCATTGTAAAGAGGGGGCAACTGTTGTAACTAAATTTTGGATTCATTAAGATTTTCTCGAATATTATTTTATTTTATTATTCATAAAAAAATATAAATAAAAAAAGAGTTTAAAATATATTTTCTTGAGTCAACCATATTTTTCTATCAAAATTGAGTCCACTACATGAATACGGGTTAAACGATGTCGACCGGGACAAAAAAATGAGTTTTGGGCCGTTTCGGGTCAAAACCATCATTTTCGGTCAAAACAGAGTCCACCGAGTCGATACGGGTCCCACCATATCAACCATGATAAAAAATGAGTTTCGGGTCAAAAACATCATTTTCAGTCAAAACCGAGTCCACCAGGTCAATACGGGTTAAAAAATATCGACCGGGATAAAAAAATGAGTTTCGGGCTGTTTTAGGTCAAAATCATCATTTTAGGTCAACATCAAGTCCACCGGATCAATACGGGTCCCACCATGTCGACTAGGATGAAAAATGAGTTTCGAGCCATTTTGGGTCAAAACCGTTATTTTCTCTCAAAACCAAGTCCACCGGGTCAATACGGGTCCCACCATGTCGACCGGGTTGAAAAATGAGTTTCGAGTTGTTTTGAGTTCGGATCAAAATAGTCATTTTCGGTCAAAACCGAGTCTACCAGGTCAATACGGGTCCCACCATGTCGACCGCGATGAAAAATGAGTTTCAGGCTATTTTTGGTCAAAACTGTTATTTTTTATAAAAAAACCCGATCCACCGAGTTAATACCCGTATAAAGATTTTTTTTTGTAATTAAAATTGATTTTTAGCGGTTGAAAAGCTTTATATAATACTGATTTGAATTTTTAATTTTATCCCTATAAATAAATATTATTATTATATATAATAAAATAAAAAAAATAATTCAATTTCGTCACAGTAGACGGAGGATTTCTGCCGATGGTTGGCGATGCAGCTGTACATTAAAAATTTTGCACAATCTCGTGATTACTTGCACAATCTATGATTCGCTGTCCCTTTTCATTGGCTATAAATAGCCAATAAAACCAAGCCAATAGGAAAAGGAGAACAAAAAACAACATAATTCTGAATTCTGAATTCGAGAGCTATTTTTGTGTTACTAGTTGATACTATTCATTTATTTTTTTACTTTTTATTCACCCTAGTAAGATATTGATTTAAAAGAAAAACAATTTGAAAAATACCAAAAATATCTCAACCGTTAGATTTAATAGTATTTAAATCTGAACCTTTGATTTCTTCGGATACAATAGGCTTTACCACACTAGATTAAAACTCAAATCCATTTCAGCCTTTAAAATAATTTGCTCTTTGATCCTGTTGTGCCACGTCATCAGGTGTACCAAACACTCGGTACACCGCAACACACCAGATCATAACCTAGTCTATCTTGACCGTCCGATCAACTTCCAAATCAAGCCAATCACAGCCGCATGATCTATTCATCCGCGATCCAACAGTTCACAGGCTTCAAACACACCGGTTCACCATACACTCATCTACACCGTATCAAAAACTCAGAGACCCTCTCTCCTCTCACTGGCAATTCTCTCTCTCTCCACCGATCTTCCATTTCCGGCCATTTTAAGTAGCCAAACCACCACAGAAAGGTGCATCACCTCCTCTGAAGCATAACCCCGGCCGTTTAACACGATTTCACTGGCGATTTTGGCTGGAAAAGGCCACAACAGTCATCGGCCAACTGAGCTTCAAGTTGTCGATTCTCCCTCATCAGCCATCAACAGCCGTCGAGACCACTACCATCAAAATCCTCGTCCTCAGATCTACCAGAATCAACCATCTATTGGCCGGAATCTCATCAAAAAATTTCGTCGCCGCCAACAGTTGCCGCACATGAGCCACACGCGCCACTAGTGGTATTTTCATAAATTTTACAGAAATCCGAGGGTATTTCAGTCTTTTACCTATACAGTGGCACTCAGGTAAAAATTTTATGATTTTTATGGTATTTTTTGATATTTTTATATATAAATACTTGTAAATTTTTGCATGTAAAAAAAAAAACAAAAATAAATTTAAAATAAATAACGACGCAGATCCAACACCCAAACGACGCAGCTCCAACACCCATTTTATCATGTCACTGTTCATAGGTCAAAACCCGATTCTCAAGAATGGATATACCCATTTCTCAATAATATCAAAATAATTTTTTTTTATAAAATAAATATTATTTGTCGACACGTCTCTTTTATTTACAAAAAAAAAAAGAATCGATGTCAAAAATGTAAATACCAAATATAGATTATGTCCATTATTATTTCTTTTGATAAATCAGACGTAACTCTACTTTTTAGATACAAACGTCAATATTTTAGACAAAGTCTCCTAGTTTTAGGGACTGATGTTATTTTTAATGTATCTCCTATTTTTAGGGATCGACGTTAACAATTTTAAAATATTTACAAATAAATTTAAAATATAATAATATTTGAATCAAATTTAAAATACATAAGTAAGAGTAACCTTTTTTTAAAAGAATGTTTTAAAGATGATATTTACATTTCTTTAATTATAACTAACTCAGCACTCGAATATCTTATAACTAACTCAACACTCGAACATCTGAGACTAATGTTTAATTTTAAATTTTTAGTTCTCTTAAATTATTAGATAGAAACTCTAATAAAATTTTTATTTTTTTTAATAAAAAATTATTTATTTTTTTATTAAAACAAATAAAAAAAATAAAGTCATCGTCTGATGTATGATCTCGATGTCTGATGTTTTGTACTGACAGAAAGGATCAGACACGTAGGAGAAGCAGAATCGAATCTTGACTGTGAGATGCTGAATAAAGCATTGTGTGTTTTATTGCACCATCTGTCAACATGAATCAAGAAAGAAGAGAAAACGAATGGATGCCCCGGTGCAACAGCGGCCATAGATCTTGTTTGCTATCTCTTCTGTTGGAAAAAAGAAGATTAAGCACGGAATAGCCTGAAGGCAAGGTCTGCTATTTCTGTACAGAATAGTCCATGCCGTAATCAGCAAGTCTGCGATCTCAGACGAGTAAACTTTAGGCTCTTGAAAATCCTAAATTCAAAAAAAAAAAAACCTATAGAATTATCACTCAAAAGCCCGAAATGCACTCTGATCACACCTCAGCTCACATCTACTGACAGGGAGAAAAAAAATTGGAGTTCAAGGAAACAAAAATCATAAAAACATTTTTTTAGAAAAAAGGAATTCGGGTTTTCACCAAAAGATCGAACAAAAAATCAAATTTTGTTTTCCAACAGAAGATTAATGCCTATGTACTCAACAAAGCCAAAACCCACCCCCCCCACCAAAAAAAAAAAAAAAAACCATCGCAATTCTGCCATGGCACGCCCAACGCAAAGCCACTGAACCAGTTAGCAAAACCACGGCATAGCCGTCAACAAAGAAACTATCCAGCTGCCAGGAGCAAAAAAACACGAACACGAAAAGCGAAATCACCGGCAGACTCATGCGATCACGGAAGCCAACGCAACCGTCCAGGTCCAAGCCGCTAGTAACTCCACCAACGGCGAAAGTCGCGCGAAAACAAAAGGGAAAGCAACGGAAGGCAAAACACTGGATCCCTCGTTGGATGGCGACGAGAAAAACTGCCCTCATAAACACGCAGAGGAGATGGATTTGGCACCGATCCCACACTTAACGCACTGAAACCCACGGATCACAACCGCAACCCA